CTGTCAGGGTATGTGTTTATCTTGTTTCAGATTAAATATACAATAATTTAGGCTGTAAAAGCTTCATCTTTTCCCTTGACGCTCCTCTTAATGTCAATCTTTTGCGTATTATATGAGGTATTAATTTTTCATCTTCGTGGCATTATTATTTTAAGTTACTGTAGCTTGATATTACTGCTACAGAAATGATTAGACGAACCACTCTTTCTTCCAGCTTGAAAACAATGGTCCAGAGATGCACGGGCTCTATTCATTCGCTGTTATCGCAGAAGGCAAAGAATTCCTCTTAGCTGCAAACTCGGAGGAGGAAAAATACAAATGGGTGGAGGTAAGAATCAAAAAGAAGAATTTCAGTGCGATCGTAATACAGGATCAAAGGGAACCAAAGAGATCTTCACAGCAACAGCATCTCCACTATCATTTATTACCCTTACGATTACTTACTACAATTGTCTGTGTTTTTCAGCTGAAGTTTGAAAAAAGTACTCCAATCTCTTTGAAAACGCGTTGCTGTTCCCCCTCCCCACCCAATACAATATTGAAACTCAGGAGAAATTGCAGGTACTAGTTTTCAACATTGTATGAGGGGTAGGGGGAGAGGTTAGGAAGCTGAAGTTGTATTCGCGTCTGGCATGCCCTTACCGGGGACCTTTAAGATTGCACTACGGGTACGAGGATGAGATCGAGTACGATTTTTGAATTTCAAACCAGTGACATTTCCAGAGCCCGCGCTCGTCATGTTGGTTTTAGGTAGAGAGGGTAGCTCATGGGATGAGATGGGTAGGTGACGGGATAATGTGGAGCCTGCAAACTAGAATTGGAAAGTCGTATTCGATCTCGCACTCCTACTCAAAGCAAACGTACCCTACTATCATATCTTGTAATGATAACTGTGCTGTTTTTTCGTTTTTAATAGGATCTCAAAAGAGCTGTAAAACAGGCTAAAGATCGGGTAAGTAATAAAAGCAGACGGACCATTAGCCTGGTCCAGGATCTCGGTAGTTGGGGACGAGCGAGAGAAACAACCAGGGCGGAAAGGAAGGAAGAGAACTCTCTATCGCCTTTCCTCGCCTTAGTCCTCCCTCGTTTTTTCTCTCGCTCGCCCTTTTTTTTTTCGCTCTTCTCCAACTACCGCGAGCTTGGAACAGGCTAACGGACCATTGACAATCATATCTCGAGTATTTAGTCGGTAAAAAAGTATCTGAAACACTTAACTAACCAAAACGTCGAACTGCTTCACAAAATGGCTTCCTCAAGTCTCGTTAGAATGCGGATGTACGGTTCTACCGCTGAGCCGGTGTGGAAATATTTCATCAAGTTTAAACAAAGGAAATCGTGACCTTGACAGTGTTTGAATATCTGATCTTAATTACGATAGATTTTAACGATTAATTTTTATTTCTCCGTTTTCTTGTGAGTTTAAGTTTTGATTGAGAAGATATGCACTCAAGACAGTGTTTGACCACATTTCCAAACACCTTGAAGCTAGTCAAAATACTCCTCTACGCGTCATATTTTTAACTCTCTTCTCGGTGTTTGGAAATGTGGTCATGATATATTGTTTCGAAGGTAGAGTAGTAACAGCCTTAAATTTTGACCAGGAGTGTGGTTTTGTCGTGACATGATTATTAAATGCCAGGTCATGTTTAATGCTTTGGAGAGCTGAGTTTCATTCAGGTAAAGTGGTGATCATTTTTAACATCTTTCGTTTTTTAGGTTTTCTGTGGCGCTTGCTCGCAGAAGAGATCCAACCTGGCATATCGCACACCCAACGTGAGATCAACAAGATACCTTTGTGAAGAGTGCTACAACGTCCTCGAGCAGGGTACCTCAGCAATGCTGTGCGATTGGTTTTGAGAAAAAGCTCGGAAAACTAGGCTAGCTGTGTTAATAGACCATCTTCGTATTCTCAGTATTGAACTGGAACTAGCTTGCAATGGAGGCTCATGTGGTGGGGAGGGGGGAGGGGGATATCATAAAAAGGGTTAGGTGCTATTTGCTTATGAAAGGACTGCCCGCGTTAGCCTCAGTTGCAAGCTAGTTCCAGTCCAATACCGATAATACGAATATGGTCTGTTCATGCGATGTTTTCATAACTCCTGAACCTGAACTAACTGGGAGTAGACGGGAGTAGCTTACAGGAAAGGGGCAGAGCCATTTCGATAGCTGATAAACAAAGCGAACAGCTGTGTGGCATCTATGTTAATAAATACCTTTCAAACCGCTGGTCAATTTTGATTCCCGACTCCAGCCCGGTGCGTCGTGAATGGGTACCGTTCAGTTGGTGGAGCAATCTGATAACATGCTGGATGATAACTTGAGATAGACTAAACTTTCATTCAGCGGGAAGGAACAATACTCTTAGTCGCTTCAAGCTTTTGAAACTACGATTAAGGGATCGATAGCCTGACGATTCCGTAGTAGGCTTGGAAATAGCAAACTAACGAAACATCTTTCAATTTGCGTTTCAGAGAATTTACTTAATGGAGACTCGCCCTACCCCCAGATGGGGCCAATAGGCAAGGTGCTGCCCTTACCCACCCCGGTGGAGATAGCAGAGAGAACGGATGGTAACGGGTCAGATGATGATATTGGTACAAGTCCTGTCTCGAGCCTGGACAAGAGACACGCCCACACGCATACTATGTCCACGCGGAGAGTTTGTTGGCATAGAAACACAAGTATCAGTATGACAGAGCACTCGCTTTCTGTTAGAGTAAGTATTCTTTGCTTTTTACTGTTCCGAGATAACGTCCGCAGGGGGACGAACATGAGGCCGAGCATGGACCGGCAGCATGAAATTGAGGCCTTCTTTTGGTGCCTCGATGTCATGCAACTCGCTCCAGTGTATCTCATGCAGACTACATTTTTGAATTAGCAGTTTATCTGTATGCAGTGCTGTACCACGAAATGGAAATGCTTCGTTATAGCAGTTTCTAGGCGATTGAAATAACGTTCTGTATGCGGGAGCTAACCTAAATTTGTCTTGCATTCCAGAATCAAATGAGCGGAGAATTGTTAAGGAAATTCAAGACAGGGAATCGATGGCAGAAGTTGTGGGTTGTGTTTACGAACTTTTGTCTCTTCTTCTACAAGACACACGAGGTATGAACTTGGATGGCGTCTCATAGTTGTAGTTTGGTAGTGAGTTTATAAAATCTTTGTACGCAAAACCTACAGTAAGTCTGTGACACTTTTCGGGCGAAAATTTACTTCACGAAGTGAAACCTTTAGCATCTAATCTTAAAGCAAATTTTACATGTGTTTTTACGACTGTTGCCAAAGTTTCCCTCTCTCCGAAAATAAGCCCTCAAATCTTGAACGCAAAAGTTCCGCCCTGCCTGTTATGACCCTCTCAGCGTAAAAAATCTCTAGTCCTCGAGGGAGGGCCCTACATTAAAGTTATGTTTCTGTCTCGTCTTTCCTACCATCTTGAAGAAAGTGTTACAATTTACTTTAAATTTTTCAGCCAAAAGATCTGCTCCAAATCTAAATTCGATCTTTTTATTGAGTAGCGAGTCTTTTTAAGTCTTATGTTCTTTTGTTTTGTTTTTTTTCAGGACGAGTTTCCACTGGCCAGCTTACCGCTGATTGGTTATTCAGTGGCCAGGCCGGTCGAGGTAATAATCGTGACTTCGTTTCCATGTGAACCACTGTAAACGTTTGAATTTTCCATTTGTGATAAACATCTATTTTCTCCTTGCAATATGTAGACATTTTTAAGCAGCCTAGTGAAGAGAATACAGAAAATCATCAACTAGAGGCAAAGTTTTCGTGTGTCACCTGATTCTAAAAATTCACAGTAGAGCGTTTTCTCTCACATGGCCAGCAGCCACGAAAATGTTTTGGACCAAAAGAAAGGGTTTACATAAGAAAAGAGTTCAATTCTCATAGGATTGGTTTGGTGTACCAACATGGCCGCCGTTTTATTGCTTTGAAACACTAATATGGCTGCCCTGACGTCATGTGAGAACGCTCTATTGATGAGAATTAATGTCACGTGCAAGAGACACATGTAGTGCACGTGCAATGCAGTCACCCCGAGAAAGCTAGAGCTTGCTAGCTCCTTATAAAGTTTTGGTCAAAAAGCATGTCAACCAATGGTTTTCCACCTCGGACCCCCTTCCACACGGCAATTGTGTACACCAGTTAATAGACTGTGCGAATTCTCTATTTTCTATGCTGGTATTTTTATCTTGTCTAAACAAGGTTGTTTTTGTGTGGTGGTGGTTGTTTTGTTTGGGATAACCTGTGTGGAGACGTAACAGAGGTCTGTACTCACAGGAACCTTGGGGTTTTGTTGTGTGGATTCACAAGATGCAGGAAAAAAAAAACGATATTGTGACAGCAAAATTACTTATTGTGATTACAAAATTACTTTCTTGTTCTGTCTCTTCTTGACTTAAAAGGCTGATGGCATCGACAAGGATCTGGTGTTCAAACTCCAATACAAGACGCATGTATACTTCTTCAGAGCAGAGAATGAGTACACCTTCTTCAGGTAAATGGAAGGATTTAACTTTAAAAACCAATTAGCAAATGCATTACACGCAGAATACAAAGACAGTAGATTTTGCTGGCAAAATGGAGCCAATGTGCTTACCGTAAAGGCCTTTCTCAGTGCACGACTTAACTTCATCTGCCACCTGAAGAGTCGAAAACTGGTGCTTGCCGTTGTACATGTGACTACAATGTAGCCCCATTAAAAATTCCACTTCCCCCAGGCTATCGAACCAGACTACCCTTCCAAGCTGATGTATTACCCACTGTGACACTCGCTACTCACTCATTCCTCTTCGTGCCGTTGGACACACAGGGCCATAGATTTCCATAACATCTAGCTTTTTTCACGGGGTAGGGTTGTCGGCCTTAGGCCCAATCCCCAACCCGGAGGACCAGGGGGTGTAATATCGCCTGGCCCCTCACCCCAGACCTCTCCAACATGGTTGAACCTACCGAGTGCGTAAAAACCCCCATTGTCATAGCTCCAATGGTTCTAAAGGCGCCTATGCTATGGCACCAACAGCAAGATATTAACACCATCGTGGCAAATGAACCCGCTGTGAACCTCTTAAAGTTACCACCTTTATAAAACATGACGCGGTCTCTTCAATAACTTTAACGAAGTATTTGTTTTCTTTTCTCTGTGATTAGGTGGATGGAGGTGATCGCAAGTGCAACCCAAAGCTCTTCAAGAGTTCGTATTTTTAGCCGCCAGATCAGTGCTGTTCCCTAGATGAATTTATAATTTAAGCAGGGCAGTCGGCTTGTCAGCCGGCCTGCCTGCTTGCCTGCTAGCTGAGAGGTATTATAATAATCTTTTTATCATGTATACACTTGCCGTATCCTAAAGTAAAGCAATCGTGCAGGCTTGAAAGAGATGCTCCCGATAAATGAGAATTTAGTTACGTGTGTGTGTCGTAATTTCGTTTTCAAGACGGTGGATAGTCCATCTCAGACGAATTGTGAAGGACGAACATCCAGGAAATGTTGTGGAAGTGTAGGGAGTTTAGTAACCCAAATGCCTTTTTGAGCGCAAACGCTATAGAATTATATTTTGTACGTATTCTCTGATTCTCTCAGTCTTTGCACCAAACAAGCTTTTATCTAGTAATACACTTCTTCGCATTCGATGCGCACGTTTTAGTCTAAACAGTAGACAGAGATATGGTATTTATTGCACGGTGTAAACACCAGTAATTTCCGCCTCAAGCGCGGTGCGTAGCGATCGAATTGAGTGGTTATTCACCCAGAATCGCCTGCAGTACAGTTAACATAGCCAGGGTGCCAGGGGCATTTTCGAGTTACTCTAGCCTCTGTTTCACAACGATAGTTACTGCAACATGTTCATTTGTATGCTCGGCAAGCTCTCTATTCAAGGGTTTTGCTTGGAGTGTTAATTGAAACAGATTCAAAGGGCTCAGAAATAGCCAATGGTTTTTGTGCTTAATTGCGGCGTTTCTTTGAGTCGTCACGCTGCGTTACATGAATGCATTGCGTGACTTTCCAAGCAAAGTCTGTGGACACTGCTTGTGTTACTCCTAGGCGAAAAAAGAACGTGTTTGCCTTTGAGCAAACGTCGACGAAACTGATTGTTCTACCAGCTCTGTTGCGCGTGTTTGAGACTTGAAACCAGGAGAGAACTTATAAAAAAGCTTGCACTGTTGTAGTCTATATTGTTTAAAGTTATAATACACCTAAAGTTCATTGTACGTTCAAATAAAAATTTGGAACGAAAGTGACGAATTAAATGACGTGTGAAATTGTGAGGGGACCTCATGAAAATACAGCGAAGTGGTCTCGATCTTGAACGTGTGGCCGTGAGCAGGCTAACGTGGCCCCGAGTTAACTTGTTGCGCGTGTTTGAGACTTGAAACCAGGAGAGAACTTATAAAAAAGCTTGCACTGTTGTAGTCTAAATCAATCTCTTAAAAGTTGCACTGAAAAGCGACTTGAAACTGTTGGTACGGAGATTTCAGTTTATTATTCAATTTTAATTTAAAGTATTTACAGTTTGGTTTTCATTTTCATGCTAGAAAACCAATCAATTGTTGAAATATAGGTTATCGTATTGGTTTTCAGAGTTTTACCAAATTTAAAATGTTTAATATCATACGTAGCAGAAATCGCATAGAAAGTCCAGAGGTCTTGTACAGTGCCTAGGAGAGCGTGCACGCGGGTCTTTTTAGGATTTTTAAGAAAGAAAGTATAAGAGCAATGCCCTCTATTTTAAACCTGGAGAGAGACCTTAATAACGCGGTGAAACTCACCATATTGAAAACACGCTAAGTGGAGAGTTGCATGGTAATTACGGCATGGATATACGTGAAATTTAATTTCGGCATTTTTATGTCTGGGAAAGTGGGGAGGGAGGGTGGCAACATTGCATTTGTAATTTTCTATACGTCTGCGAAATGACATGCCGTCATATGCGCTTACCATGTTCAAATTGCATCAATAACATCGTAGGTTTGCAATTCACAACGCAGAAATTTATATCATGAAAGTTCGCGCGGACTGTTTCCCCCACTTTCAATATGGCGAATTTTCCCCGCGAAAATCTCTCTTCCCAATTTTTTAAAACACATTGGTAGTGGACGAGGTTTAGAAATTGCTAAGGCTTAGTGGACAGGTCACAAATAGTGCAATCCCGATATAGCGAAATCGGAGGAAGCCAACACGCGGTTGTACCAAATACTCAGATGAAAAAATTGAATGGCACTGCTTTACCTGAAGTCGAAGGAAAGTTAAATATGAAAACTAAGTCAAATGAAAGAAGAAAAATTGCCAAAGATGTCAGAAAGCTTTAAAGAACGATCGGGGTTGCAGTGTTTTAAGGCCTGAATTAATCGTGGACTTTGTAGTATTGACTTGGAGGAAATTGCTCTTGCTTAGCGTATTTTATTCCCAGCTAGCAGAGTATACATTGAATTTGCTGTATTTGGCAATGGCACGGTTAGTAACACAGCGGATTCTCATCATATCACGTTACAGCGTGACAACTTTCTGAGAATCGATGACGCGTTACCTGCCGTTCGTCGTCTTCGGTTCCAGTCTCACTCAGTGAAGAGAGGACTCTCTGGGCTTGGTCTCAGTCCTCCGAATACCGTAGGGGGGTTTGTAGACGAAGTAACCCGTATAATGTAACCCGTATATGTGTGTAAGTTGTAAGGCGACCATGTAAGCAGGGAAGTTTGTATCGGAGATTTGAATTTTTGTACAGAATATCCTTAACAAAGGCTCAATAAATGTTAAATTTATATTGTTTAAAGTTATAATACACCTAAAGTTCATTGTACGTTCAAATAAAAATTTGGAACGAAAGTGACGAATTAAATGACGTGTGAAATTGTGAGGGGACCTCATGAAAATACAGCGAAGTGGTCTCGATCTTGAACGTGTGGCCGTGAGCAGGCTAACGTGGCCCCGAGTTAACTTGTTGCGCGTGTTTGAGACTTGAAACCAGGAGAGAACTTATAAAAAAGCTTGCACTGTTGTAGTCTAAATCAATCTCTTAAAAGTTGCACTGAAAAGCGACTTGAAACTGTTGGTACGGAGATTTCAGTTTATTATTCAATTTTAATTTAAAGTATTTACAGTTTGGTTTTCATTTTCATGCTAGAAAACCAATCAATTGTTGAAATATAGGTTATCGTATTGGTTTTCAGAGTTTTACCAAATTTAAAATGTTTAATATCATACGTAGCAGAAATCGCATAGAAAGTCCAGAGGTCTTGTACAGTGCCTAGGAGAGCGTGCACGCGGGTCTTTTTAGGATTTTTAAGAAAGAAAGTATAAGAGCAATGCCCTCTATTTTAAACCTGGAGAGAGACCTTAATAACGCGGTGAAACTCACCATATTGAAAACACGCTAAGTGGAGAGTTGCATGGTAATTACGGCATGGATATACGTGAAATTTAATTTCGGCATTTTTATGTCTGGGAAAGTGGGGAGGGAGGGTGGCAACATTGCATTTGTAATTTTCTATACGTCTGCGAAATGACATGCCGTCATATGCGCTTACCATGTTCAAATTGCATCAATAACATCGTAGGTTTGCAATTCACAACGCAGAAATTTATATCATGAAAGTTCGCGCGGACTGTTTCCCCCACTTTCAATATGGCGAATTTTCCCCGCGAAAATCTCTCTTCCCAATTTTTTAAAACACATTGGTAGTGGACGAGGTTTAGAAATTGCTAAGGCTTAGTGGACAGGTCACAAATAGTGCAATCCCGATATAGCGAAATCGGAGGAAGCCAACACGCGGTTGTACCAAATACTCAGATGAAAAAATTGAATGGCACTGCTTTACCTGAAGTCGAAGGAAAGTTAAATATGAAAACTAAGTCAAATGAAAGAAGAAAAATTGCCAAAGATGTCAGAAAGCTTTAAAGAACGATCGGGGTTGCAGTGTTTTAAGGCCTGAATTAATCGTGGACTTTGTAGTATTGACTTGGAGGAAATTGCTCTTGCTTAGCGTATTTTATTCCCAGCTAGCAGAGTATACATTGAATTTGCTGTATTTGGCAATGGCACGGTTAGTAACACAGCGGATTCTCATCATATCACGTTACAGCGTGACAACTTTCTGAGAATCGATGACGCGTTACCTGCCGTTCGTCGTCTTCGGTTCCAGTCTCACTCAGTGAAGAGAGGACTCTCTGGGCTTGGTCTCAGTCCTCCGAATACCGTAGGGGGGTTTGTAGACGAAGTAACCCGTATAATGTAACCCGTATATGTGTGTAAGTTGTAAGGCGACCATGTAAGCAGGGAAGTTTGTATCGGAGATTTGAATTTTTGTACAGAATATCCTTAACAAAGGCTCAATAAATGTTAAATTTATATTGTTTAAAGTTATAATACACCTAAAGTTCATTGTACGTTCAAATAAAAATTTGGAACGAAAGTGACGAATTAAATGACGTGTGAAATTGTGAGGGGACCTCATGAAAATACAGCGAAGTGGTCTCGATCTTGAACGTGTGGCCGTGAGCAGGCTAACGTGGCCCCGAGTTAACTTGTTGCGCGTGTTTGAGACTTGAAACCAGGAGAGAACTTATAAAAAAGCTTGCACTGTTGTAGTCTAAATCAATCTCTTAAAAGTTGCACTGAAAAGCGACTTGAAACTGTTGGTACGGAGATTTCAGTTTATTATTCAATTTTAATTTAAAGTATTTACAGTTTGGTTTTCATTTTCATGCTAGAAAACCAATCAATTGTTGAAATATAGGTTATCGTATTGGTTTTCAGAGTTTTACCAAATTTAAAATGTTTAATATCATACGTAGCAGAAATCGCATAGAAAGTCCAGAGGTCTTGTACAGTGCCTAGGAGAGCGTGCACGCGGGTCTTTTTAGGATTTTTAAGAAAGAAAGTATAAGAGCAATGCCCTCTATTTTAAACCTGGAGAGAGACCTTAATAACGCGGTGAAACTCACCATATTGAAAACACGCTAAGTGGAGAGTTGCATGGTAATTACGGCATGGATATACGTGAAATTTAATTTCGGCATTTTTATGTCTGGGAAAGTGGGGAGGGAGGGTGGCAACATTGCATTTGTAATTTTCTATACGTCTGCGAAATGACATGCCGTCATATGCGCTTACCATGTTCAAATTGCATCAATAACATCGTAGGTTTGCAATTCACAACGCAGAAATTTATATCATGAAAGTTCGCGCGGACTGTTTCCCCCACTTTCAATATGGCGAATTTTCCCCGCGAAAATCTCTCTTCCCAATTTTTTAAAACACATTGGTAGTGGACGAGGTTTAGAAATTGCTAAGGCTTAGTGGACAGGTCACAAATAGTGCAATCCCGATATAGCGAAATCGGAGGAAGCCAACACGCGGTTGTACCAAATACTCAGATGAAAAAATTGAATGGCACTGCTTTACCTGAAGTCGAAGGAAAGTTAAATATGAAAACTAAGTCAAATGAAAGAAGAAAAATTGCCAAAGATGTCAGAAAGCTTTAAAGAACGATCGGGGTTGCAGTGTTTTAAGGCCTGAATTAATCGTGGACTTTGTAGTATTGACTTGGAGGAAATTGCTCTTGCTTAGCGTATTTTATTCCCAGCTAGCAGAGTATACATTGAATTTGCTGTATTTGGCAATGGCACGGTTAGTAACACAGCGGATTCTCATCATATCACGTTACAGCGTGACAACTTTCTGAGAATCGATGACGCGTTACCTGCCGTTCGTCGTCTTCGGTTCCAGTCTCACTCAGTGAAGAGAGGACTCTCTGGGCTTGGTCTCAGTCCTCCGAATACCGTAGGGGGGTTTGTAGACGAAGTAACCCGTATAATGTAACCCGTATATGTGTGTAAGTTGTAAGGCGACCATGTAAGCAGGGAAGTTTGTATCGGAGATTTGAATTTTTGTACAGAATATCCTTAACAAAGGCTCAATAAATGTTAAATTTATATTGTTTAAAGTTATAATACACCTAAAGTTCATTGTACGTTCAAATAAAAATTTGGAACGAAAGTGACGAATTAAATGACGTGTGAAATTGTGAGGGGACCTCATGAAAATACAGCGAAGTGGTCTCGATCTTGAACGTGTGGCCGTGAGCAGGCTAACGTGGCCCCGAGTTAACTTGACGCGGAGTCCTAACGCTGGAGACGAGCTTCGTCGAAGGTGCGAAACGAACGCGCAAGATCTTGAAGGGAGCGCGAGCGCGGAGCGTGATGTTTTTGTGTCAATATGCCTTGCGTACGGGTCAAATGGTTTCTAAGCTAACTTGGGAGTTTTCATTCCCGTTCTCATACTAAAACCTTACGGTGGATCAACTTTGTCTAAACGAATGGAGGCTTGGTTGGCCGTAGATATCTTTCTGAGGGAGCGAGAGAAATGTGAAAGGGTGGGGGTCTTGCTTCATTTCAAGTTCTTTCCACTCTTAGAAAGAAAGCGGCTCAACGGTCACAACACGCAAAATGACATTGTTACAAGCTTTTAGTTTATTTCTAGGTTATCTACAACGCCATATCAATTCATAGATCCTTTCCATACATTGACAAGTAGCTTGGTTACATCAAAAATCAAGAACATCAGCCAGGTTGCAAACTCTCGTAAGCCTATTGTAGTGTTATGGTATACCCCTCTACTGGATCCCATGTTATTAGCGACTTAAATGTTAGACACGATCTGATCTGGGTCATCTTCAGGTTTCTTGATCAGCTCAGTACCTTCTCCTTCCTTATCGCCTTCTTCCATCTTTGATTGGTCAGCTTCCTTCAGCTCGTCACGTGACAGATGCGCCACTATGCCGGCGCCCACAGCATCTCCAAGAACATTAAGAACGGTTCGAAAACGATCCCTGAATGATGCAACAAGAGAAGATAAAATATGTCAGGAAGACGTCGTGGCGCAAGCTACTACCACACTACCATAGTTTATCTTTCTGTACAGCTGGATCCCGCTACAGTAATTCGAACACGGTTATTTCGAATTCCCCGTTGTTTCGGACTCAAAACATTGGATTTGTCCTTCAGTCATTTACTATCAGTTATTTCAAACCCCCCGCCATTTCGATCTATCTATCATTTCCGCTAGCGAGATTCAACTGTATTTAGTCTATTTGCATGCACGGACAAAAATCCTCTCAACATATGGCAGGTTTGTGTTGGTGTTAAAGTGCCTGTGAAGTATATAAAAAAAAATACTCGCTGCTTATTTGAAAGGATTTAAAATAAAGAAACGTGACGTTTTTCGTTTTGGAATATCTTTCGTTTTAGGGATATTAAGGTTGTTGTATTACGCAAATGAAGAAGGTCATGACGTCGTGAATAGTTCCTCTACTAGTAGTAATCAGAAATCATGAGAGTGCGTTCNTCAACATATGGCAGGTTTGTGTTGGTGTTAAAGTGCCTGTGAAGTATATAAAAAAAAATACTCGCTGCTTATTTGAAAGGATTTAAAATAAAGAAACATGGCGTTTTTCTTTTTGGAATATCTTTCGTTTTAGAGATATTTACGTTATTGTATTACGCAAATGAAGAAGGTCATGACGTCGTAAATAGTTCCTCTATAACGGTAAAACACTGAATCAAGAATATCTCCAGAATTAATGGGGCGGTGCTCTTCAAACTTGATACCAGAAATTTACATCAAGCCCAATAGCAGCAACATCAATTCAATTAAACAAGTAATGCATTTGAAAACAATGAATACTCGAGTTCAGTGCGCTCTTTACATATGCAGAATAATAGCGACAAAATTGAAATGGTCTTACATGAACCAGTCAATGGCCCAGAGAAGAGCTACGTCATCCAGGGGAAGATTGNAGAATATCTCCAGAATTAATGGGGCGATGCTCTTCAAACTTGATACCAGAAATTCACATCAAGCCTAGTAGCAGCAACATCAATTCAATTAAACAAGTAATGCATTTGAAAACAATGAATTCTCGAGTTCAGTGCGCTCTTTACATATGCAGAATAATGGCGATAAAATTGAAATGGTCTTACATGAACCAGTCAATGGCCCAGAGAAGAGCTACGTCATCCAGGGGAAGATTGACAGCTTGCAGCACGATTAACATGGTAACCAGGCCTGCAGATGGGATTGCGGCTGCGCCTACAGCAGCGGCAACAGCGGTTAACCTGTGAGAAAAAATGACGCACTTAGGAAATGAACGCAAAAATCGATAAAAACCTACATTTGCTGGGTGAATTTTTTTTACAGGTGGAACACAGAGAACCCTAACATCAAGAAGGAGAGTGGCTAAGTGTGCCTGTTTTGTAGCGGCTAGTTTGAATTTTAAATACGTGATCGCTGATCATGTGGTGCACTATCTGGAGCGGTAAACTTGAGACTGAGACGGGCGAGAGACTTTTGACATCTCGGGGCATGGATCACCCACCGAGAATAATAGAACTTCGAACGCTTTCAGAGCATTTCTCAGTGACACAAAATGATCTACTCACACAATAGTGATGATCTCTCCAGGACCTAGGCTGACTCCATGCAGCTGCGCGATCCAGAGGGCGCAAACGCCTTCGTACAGAGCCGTTCCATCCATGTTGACGGTAGCACCCAGCGGAAGAACAAAACGGCTGATACGCTTGTCGACATGGTTGTACTGCTCCACGCATTTTATGGTGGTTGGCAAAGTGGCCGCGCTGAGGAGTTGAAAAGTAACAGAGTTGTCTCGTAGATAACATCGTTTCGTCGTAAGAACTTCATATACAATGCAGTGAAAAATTCGTCCCCAAGCGCTCGTTGATTTTAAGTTCAGAAAACAGTAATTTGAGAAAGCGAAAACATTTTTGTACATTTCTCAAAAGAGTTAAAGGTTGGGCTCAAATACTGGACATCAAAACTGTGGTAAGCCATTCTCGTCCCCAGAGGCCGCGCTCCTTTTGGTCAGCACCAAGAATCACGATCTCTGGCCGGTTTCACGGACTTCTCGTCATTCTGCGCATGCTCAGAGTCAAGTCTGACAAATCTAATTGGTTCCGGTCTCATTTTATTGTGTTTGCAAAGCCAATCAACCGGAATCTCACTGGACCTGTCCAGAGGTCGCTATTCTTGGTGCTGACCAAAAGAAGCGCGGCCTCTAGGGGCGAGAATGGTAGTAAGCCACCGTATTAAATGTGACATATGCGCATGCGTGACCTACCTGGAGTCCGTACCGTACGCTGTTGCCATGGCATCAGAGAGGTTTTTAATATAGGTAATCGGGTTCTTCCTGGTACATACAAAGTAAATCAGCGGTATCACGATAATGCCATGCACGAAAAACCCAGTAATGGCAGTTCCCATGAGATAACCCAACATCTGGAAAGCTTGTCCGATGTCACTCATGCCTGCTACCTTGGCAGCGATCAAACTGCAGATTCCAATTGGAGAGATCCTGAAGAAAGACAGTCAAGGAGGTCATGAGAAATATTGAACCTGTAAGGGTAGAAAGGGGTGGGTGTAAGGAGAGCATTCCCGTACAGACTTGACAATTTTGACTTATTCATAATTAGTAACAATTTTGTGCAATGTTGCTGGGCGAGTCACATATGAACCAACTTGATAACTACTGGATAAAAGTCATACAAAAGTCTACAGTCTTACCACATGACCAAGGAAATCAATTCCATTATGATCTCATTTAGCGACTCGAAAAAGGCTTTCACAGGCAACCCACGCTCTCCAACACGTCCCAACACGATACCGAACACAATGGAAAACACAACCAACCCGAGGACGTTCATATTTCGGGCGGCTATCTCGAGTCCCGCGGGAACGAGGTCTGATCCTGGGGCGAGCTCTTCTTCCATAGTTGTAAAATTGTGAGTGCCATTAGTGAAAATTTTCATCGTGGTGTTTGGCGAGAGTTCCTTTATGTCTATCGTCTTGTTGTATCGATGCACATCTGGTGGGACTGATTTGTAATGCGTTCTTTTCTAAGAAAATAATAATAAGAAAGTATTTTGACCAAACTTGCCCGTGAAACTAGAATTGACAATTAGCTTCCCTTTCAGGCAGAACCAGTGCCTGTAAGCTTTCTTATGCGCCTGGTTCCCTGTGTCGTCCTCAGAGCCCTCGATTCTTGTAATCAAATAAATCGAAAAGAGCACAAAATGTAGCTCTGGAGACAATAATTAACTGCATATGGATTTGTCCTTGTTAAGCGAGCCAAAGTGCTTGTGCGAAACAAAGGACTCGCGTTTGGTTGTACGAGCTCGCGTATTTCCTCTCAACTAAACCTTCATTGTAACTAACCTGGATGAAAGTTGCCTCCACAATGTTTTTAGGAAAACAGCTCCTGTAAGGGTGTAGACATAAAACAACATATGAACCGTTGCAGTTTTAAACCGCGGCCTGCTTTGCATTGTCCTCTAGCGTGAGTCAGTTAGACACTGCTTTGAACTTCTGGACAAGCTTTCAAAATGTTGCGCCATGTTTGTGTGGGATATTTATCTATTTTGACTTCGCTTGTTCATTGCGCTTGTTACCTTTGCTGGCCCCGCCCTCGTAAGATGAGTCAATTATCCAAGCTTTTTGATAATAATGACGGTGCCTCTACTTAGATTCCAAGTTGCCCTGCGTCTGTTCAGTAACGCCGAGTTCACAAGTTAGCGACTGGTGCAAAGATTTGGGAATCTGTACCCCTTAGAATTAAGTGTCTGCCCAACAAAACCTTTAAGGTAGAGTACAAATGCCACCTTCTGAAAAATCAAACTTGACTTTACTGCTATTATGTTTTATTTTGCTGTTTGATTTTGTTGCTTTACAAGTGTGAATGTAGTGTATGTATGTTGTAATGTAGTGCATGTAGGTCTAGCTTAGCTGAATTTATTTTTTATGCTGCCATTTACTCGAACGTGGCGGTGCCCAGCCAGAAAACTCTTGTTACTTCGGTCACTGCTCACATGAATTTTATTTCTTTACGTCTTAATATTCCTTAATATGTTACTATTTTCATTATTTACAATACAATATTTGTGTAAGTGCCCTTTACAGTGTAAATAAAGGATTGAATTGAATCGCGACATAACGACATAAACATGCAGGGTGAACATACGGACATAATGACATAATAGCTACATGCATGACAGCATGAACATAACGACATAAGGGAAAAAGTGGTCTTTTCCTCATGCTTTTATGTCGATGTTCACATTGCGACATAAGTTATGATGTCATTTTCTCATGTCCAGTTATGTCATTATGTTATGTCATTAGGGAGCTTCAGCAAACCACGCCGACGACGGCAACGAGAACGTCACCAAACAAAAGGTGTAATGAGCAAAACAATCGCGGTGCACGTGCGTTATAAATCTTTGTAAAATAAATATGGACCAATTCTCAGTGTAGGACAAAAACCAATCGTCGGAAACGTGAATTTAGCAAGCAATCGTGACTACAATCATGGTGCTATTATAAGGATTTATATGAGTATAAACAAGGTGCGGTTGCTCCTAAACGAACATGGGGACCCCTCATTTTTATTTCAAAGTTTAAGTTCCTATAATATAAACAATCAAAAGGCAAAGTTTCACAAAAATCTCAGTGCAGGTTCTATTTCAGTGGAATGACCTTAAATCAGTACTTGAGCACCCCAATATTGAATTAGGCTTTTGTGAGCGTAAAAGAAAAACAAAAACAAAGGAAAGTCAGCGAACAACAGCAAATAACAGGTTTTTAGAAAACGTTGCTTGTGAAACTAGTGTTTGAAAGTCCTAACAGTGCCTCCATGATTTTGTTCAAGTCTATCAGAAAACCATCGATAGTTGGTTATAGTTAGGTGCTGTCGACATATTGCATAAATTTCCGCAGAAAAATGGCCTCCCCAGGAAGCTCGTTTTCTAAACAAAGGGGCCTTTCATACAATAATAAGTAACGGTTCTGGGTAAAAGTGGGGCGCTTTCTTCTTGAATTTTTCAAGTTGTAAAGCGACAACATCTCATCGAGATAAGACTAACACTCTAAAGGAACAAAAGTGAAAATTCCAGTATTGCTTCACATTAGTATATATTACGTTTAAATCTTCTTCCAGTCGAATCCTTCAAGAACAGTGAGAGCAGTCATGCTAAGAGAGGCAGTTATTATGACTAAATGAGCAGATTTATGCAAAAAAAATTAAAAAGTCAAAAAGCTTTGGAAATTGAAATCAATTTTGACCCATACTCACCTCAACAAGTCGAGAAAAGAGTCCAAGTTTCGATAAGGTCTCGCCAGCGATTTAACATCTCCCTCTTGGTCAGGTCTGCTGCGCGCTCCCGGACGAATGGCGACGACCAAGATGATTCCGATCAAAACAGCAATTAGCATAGTACCGAAGTAGTAAATAACGGTTCGACGGCCGATTCTGCCCGTCGCTTTGGAATCAAGCGTGGCAAGCGCTGTAATCAAGCTTGCGACGATGAGCGGCAGAATCAAAAGCTTGAGCATGTTCATGAAGAGTTCGCCTGGGAACCCGATCAACATGATGGCAGTTACTTTCTTCTCTGGGTCTTTGATAGCGTTTATCGAGTCGTTTACTGATGCGCCGATGATGAAACCAATAATAACACCCAAAATGATGAGAATGAGGAGTAAATCTTTGCGGAGACGGCGTAACACGGCGCCGCAACATGACAGGCAGCGACTGCGGCAGCGTCCGCCCGTACCTCGAGCCATGGCTTATAGCGTGTGTGCTTACTTATTGACTGCACCTTGGCCACACTCAAGATTTTGCATTGAATTAGAACAGCGCCCTTTGTTTTAAGCAAGGGTTGCTGAACTGGAACAACAGAGTACATAATCTCTTAATGCTTGTTCGACTGTTAACAAATCTTACTGAAATGGACCTAAAATAAAACCGATATTGGTAACTGGTATAAATATACGGACTACTATCACGAACGCCGTTCTCCTATTGGCTGCGCTACTGACTATCTATTCTGTTGTCAACAATGAAAATGGCGGCCGCTTCTTTGCGTTTTCGAAGTGTCTGTCTAAAGAATTTAGATAAAGTTGGGAAAAAGTTTAGATGTAAATGGATAATTAAATTCCTGAGAAGACTAAAAGAAGGACATTAGCGGTTTGTTGACTTTAAAAACTTGAAATTATTGAAAAAAACGGGTGCGCGCGCGTAAACAGCTGCAAACTATTAACTATGCTGCAAATTTACCAAGGACAGTTCAATGCGTGCGATTTTGTTAAAGCGTAAAGTTCAATAATGCGTAGAAAAATAATCAGAAATCGTTATTTGCGTTTATTTCAGTTAGCATTCTACTAAAACAATTAGATTATTCGCTCTCGATTTCTATGAGGCCTGCGGCCTCATCAACTAATCACCTCATAGAAATCTTGAGCTCATAATCTAATTGTTAAAAAGTAGTGATATTCGTGATAGATTAAATTTCACCGAGTATTTGACATGAGAGGACAACGCAGTTACAACGATTTTACATTTTACCTACGAATCTCGCGATACTCTTAGGTCCTTTAGTTTGTTTCTCTTTCTCAAAACTATCTCAAAACTGAACATGGAACGCAGCATTAAATCCGAAATAGAAAAATTCTAAATATGGGCGTTTATAGGCCGGGTTTACATTCTCCAGACAACGCAGAATTTTGTCATTTTACGTTGTTGGCGGCAACCAAAGCCGGGTTCCAAAAATTATAAAGTATGTCTGTGTGAAGCCATTGTGCTGCTTATTAAACTTGTTGTTTTAGCGACTTTTCCGTTGCCGTTGTCGTTATGTTTTTTTCTAGTTGCTCGACAGCTTTATGGCGTACTGTCGTATTAATTGTTCATATTTCGAGCAACTTTTCGAATGCGAGCTTTTGCATTCTCGGAAAATTTTTCCCATTCTGAAAAAAACCGGAGCAGATTTAATTAGATTTAAACTTTGTATTGGTCTGCCATATTCTAACTTGGTTTTTCAGGGATTCTCGGAATGTTTTCTAAAGGTTATATGAACGATTCCAAAAATATCCGAAGTTTTAGGAAGATTTCCGAATCTTTCCGAAAACTTCCAAGAAAGATCGGAAGACTGGGGATCAGCAAGTCATCAGCAAACGTTACGTCATCGATATGACACAACTTGAAAATCCTTCACAGCGAATATTAAAGATATAATACAACTATTATCGGGGAAAGGAAATCTAAGGAAATGTAAATAGGTTGTAGTTGTTATTTTGCAATTCCTGCAGTAAAATTACATCCGACAATGCTAAGGAAGTCTATTTCCGTTAATTTATTAGCAAATTTACTTCAGACTAAGCGACAGAAAAGCGATACTTAAGGTAAAAAGAAAATTTGCCTATTTTCATTGGTGAACTGAACTTATGAACAATTTTTTAAACAAATGTTTGTTGTGACAGACCCTTAGGACGCTGCCGTCTTCGGCTTGAGCGTCTTTCTTTTACACCTTAAGGGCCCTAGTCAGCCACACCTTTATTTCTGGTTACATGCGAGAGTTTGGCTATTATATTTTATTCGGAACATGTCAAAACGAAGAAAATTACTGTGAGACTACTAAAGATACGATAATATAACATATTGTAAGGTACACAAGTTACAGTATCGAAAATGGAATCGATAGGATAGTCGAGGGAAGTAACGATAGAGCGTAATTTAATGCATTCTTCGTTGAAAGCTTTTGTTGTAGAGGACAGGGCGTATGCACGATGGATCATTATTATGAGCGAGCAATCTTTGTGGCGTTTGTCCATGTGAGTTTGGAAATGGAACTGAGTGGCTTATCCCCCATTCGATTAGCTCTTAGCCTGTTAGCCCCCAAAGTCGATTAGCGCCCGAATAAAACTTGTCTTTTTAGCTCAGTAAGTGCACGTGATTCTTCTTGTCTATTGTTAGTCGGTTTTCTATACTCCTGTGAATAATTTTCATTCAATCTCCAGTTTCAGTCGATTAGCATACTTGTGCTGCAATTGATCAGTGACATATTATTGAAGTGGTTGTTTCGTTAACTGTATGGAAGAATATGCATACTCGGTGTTAAAATCTATCAAACATTTTTGCTCACTCGCAATTGGTCTAAACGCGTCAAGTGACTAAAGAGCACCCAGCCAAAACTGGGGAATGTCCGAGTGACATCCCCAATTTTCAAAGCTGCTGGTGTTGCGAAAAACGTTTCGAGAATGGTAAACACAATAGCCTCCATTTGCCATGAAACCATCCTCGGATATTTGTCCTTAGACATTATCTGTTACGAGAAGATAACAGATGATGTCTAGGGACAAATATCCGAGCATATTTTCGCGCCAAATGGAGGCTGTTGTTTAGATGTAAAAGTAATCAAAACCAAGCTACTAACCCAACACCTTTAATTCAAAGTTAAAACGGATACAACCTGATAATACACAAACGACACACTTGAAAAATGGATTTCTGCTGTGAATGAACGCTCCTTGAAACGGTCGCCGCAGAACCAGCTGAAGAAAGAGACATAGTAACAGGAATTAAATCACTGGTCCAGCCTGTTCTATTGTAAATTCTTTCAACCAGGTTGTAAGAAATACATTATTTTAGGAAAGCTACCGTTAAGGATCAGAATTGTCGGACCAGGGATGTTTTTGTCATTAGCCACGTCCCATTTAATTCCCAAGGGGTTAACAGCCGCACCACCAGGTGTGGAAGACAGCACGGTCTATTAATTATTCAAATAATATGTTATGAAACCAAAGGGTACACATGCTTAGTACTATAAATTTAGTCCTTCCTAAGGTTTTTCATTTGTTTCGTAAAGTTTTTCGTCGAGTTCTCGTTAAATTTATAATTCACAATCTTGACATAATGATGGCCAGACTACCTTCCTCCAAATTGCCTTCGTAACTATTCGACGTATCCCTGTTCTATTAGGGTAATCTATCATTTCAAATTTTAGTTTTGAGGCAATATTTTATTACATACTAACACTACATACTTTTTGTTTGTAGCCTGTCGTCTGTCGTCTGTCACCTCGGTCAACCAAAAAATAGATCTAATCTTCTCTTTCCTGGCTGGCGGATACTTTATTAAGGGTAGTCCTCCTCCACNCCCCCCCCTCCTCTCCCCTGCCCTCCCTGTACCCAGCCAGCTTTTCTGCTTTGGACTTTAGCTAAATTAAACCTTGAGAATCTTACCCACAATCTGAGTAAAAACATCACTTGCAGCCGCAATGGGAGCAGTCTCCGTCTGGATTGAACATATGACACATCGATTGACAGTCTTCGTCGCATTTTTCTTCTTCTTCTTCCCTTTCTTCTTCTTCTTCTCCTTCCTGCCTTTTTTCTTCTTCGTCCTGCTGCACTCTTTTCTGTTTCTGAGCCTGGTCTTCTTCCCGATGATCACACCCGCAATGGGAGCAGTCTCCACCTGGATTGAACATATGACACATTGATTGACAATCTTCGTCGCATGTCTCTTCTTCTTTTTCTTCCCTTTCTTCTTCTTCTTCTCCTTCCTGCCTTTTTTCTTCTTCGTCCTTCTGCACTCTTTTCTTTTCCTGAACCTGGTCCCCTTCCTGATCATCACACCCGCAATGGGAGCAGTCTCCACCTGGATTGAACATATGACACATTGATTGACAGTCTTCGTCGCATGTCTTTTCTTCTCCTCCTTTTTCGTTTTCTTCTTCCTCGTCTAGCTGCACTCTTTTCTGTTCCTGAGACACCACTGGCCTTTTTCTTTCTTTTTTGGCAAACGACTCGTCCATTTCATGGCGGCTGTGAGATTCTACTACATAAAATTGAGATAAAACCGACATTTATCTGATCAGTATGTGGTTTTAACAAATTAAAAGTTATTTACCATAAAAAAAAATCAATAATGAATAAAAAGTAAATAAATAAACATATAAATAAAAGAAACCAACAAAATAAAGGCTGGTGTTCTTAGATATGCATATACCATTTAGTTTCCGTTATAGCGAGTTAATTAAATAGTACAGTTATACAACGACTTCGAGTGGTATACCACGGAATATCCCACGAGTCACTTGTATTTTCTCAGTATACACACTCGCCTAAAAGCCCGTGTTTACACCGAGTAAATACAAGTGGCAATTGGGATATTCTATGGTACACCACTGGCAACCGTTGGATAACTATTTTATACCATGCCATAGAAAAATTAAGGCTGAATGTAATACTTAGCTCTTATTAACCGAGCTGGAGGTTTGTATGGGAGAATCTTGACCGAGGTCGTGAGTACAGACCGAACGCAGTGAGGTCTGTTCACACGACCGAGGTCAAGATTCTCCCATACAGACCGACTTAGCTCGGTTCATAAGATGTTTATTATATGGCAAAGAAGAAAACTTTTATTCGTTTAATGTAATTAGTTTGCTGACATTTTGCTTGCGAACGGCGATGAGCTTAACTTAAACCTGCCGAAATTTGCTNGGCTTTTTGGCACTTCCATAAATGATTGAGAAGAAAATAAAAGAAAATGGTGAACATTTTTGTATTTTAGTTTGCTACTTTTTCAACGCAAAACGAAACCGGTCTAGTTGCCGGTCTAGATGCCGGTCTAGATGGGAAAATCTAGACCGCGGTCAATATCGATTTCAGCCAATCAAATTCGTGAATTCGGTAGTTCCCAGGCCTTGTATGACACAGCCATATAATAACATCGAATATACAACGGCTCTCCTGTATTCCGATTGCCGGGATTTTCTATGGCATGTTATAAATTACAGTCAGTATGCTTAACAAGTATTCTAGCCGGTGGTATAATCTCAGCACATTTGAAACTCTAATTTGTAAGATTAATGTATCTTGTGGAGCCATTCTGTAAATGTCAAATAGCGATTAACTAGAGCCTAAACCATACTCTA